ACAAAGCCCCATATCACATCAACTAATTATTATGTAAACCAAGTCTTTTCAACATATAAACTCTACCCCCCCCCCCCCCCAAAAAAAAAAAAAAATCAAAATTTATCACAAAAATTTTACAGTTTTGCAAAAGCATAAAGACATTTAGAGCTGGCTGACCAACTAACAATTTTTTTTTTCTTGCTTCTTCACAAATAATGCACATTAATTATAATTATAATTATGAAGCAAACTAATTATAACAAACACTATTCCAATATTAATTTTAATATAATCATACCAGCTCTTCTTAATTACAACATGCAACACTTGTGTCATACAATTTTTATTTATTTTTTTATTTTTTTGAGAAAATTGACCACGACTATTTATTATTAAAGCCTAAGCAAAAATCGGAAGCAACTATTTAAAAAAAAAAAAAAGGCATGAGCAACACAATTCACTTCACGGAAAACATGAACAAATGAGAAATAACAAAATCAATAATCAAATTAAAAAAATGAAACAAACAATTGAAAGCGAAATAACACAATCAATAATTAAAAGCAAAAGAAAATGTGATTGATTGATTGATATTCCGTACCACATGAGAATTCAAAAAACCAGGTTCAACAGCCTCGAACAAAAAACTAGGAGCTTCTCTATCATCCTCCTTCACCAAACAACGATAAGCCAAAACCGGAGTCAAATGATCGGAAAAAATACATCGATATAACGGAATTAAATTCCCGTCTTTCGCAGCTTCAATGAATTCCGCCGAATTCTTCACTGCATTGTTCAATCAAACAATCAATTAACCAAATAAAATCACAAAAATAATCAATTAATTTCAAAATTACCAAGCGAAGGAGAAGAAACAGCGGAACAGGAGAGAGAGCGTCGAGGAGAGAGAAGGTGAAGAGGTTGATTGGAGCGTCGGAGATGAACGGCTGGGATTGAAAGGGAGGAAATCCGACGGTGGTGATGAGGAGAGAGAGAAATGCGAGGAGTAACAGTTAGGGCATCCATTGTTGAAGAAAGCAGAGAATGAGAAGAGAATAGAGGAATTTGTTGAAAACTTGGAGGAGAGAGAAAGAAGAAGAGGTGAGCCGACAAATAGGGTGGTCTCGAATGGTGTTTATATTGTCAAATTTTGAACTGAAAAACTCTAAACTCTGATGTAATGAAGAGTATTTTTCCAAGGAGAAGAGCGATTTTGCCTCATTTTCTGCTCTTTAAAACAAAAGAGACTTTAACGTTTTCGTCACCCACATTATTTCATTAGTTTTAAGGCTCTCTTCATTTCACCTACACTGTACGATTAAAGTCATTTTGTGAAAAACATACATAAAATTACTATCTCCGTTATATATTATTTGCAACAATAAGACATTTTTTCTCTCTACTTTATGTTAAATCGTTGCAAATAATATGTAACGGAGGTAGTATCTTAATTTATTAAAAATAACTGAACTGATTGAGGCTGAACCGAATTAAACTGAAATTAAGATGAACAAAACAGACACTTCTCTTCATTTTATTTTTGTCGAATTGTTTTTAAAATGAGGGTAATGCTATATGTAACCCTCTGCATATAAGCATTTTACAAATTGTAAGGGTAAAATTAGGAATTCATAACAAAACACGCTTAAATAGTGTAATTAGTGTGTTTTTGTCCTGATTTTCTAAATTAAAACAATTTTATGTTATACATGGCATTTTCCTTAAAATTTACACTATTATTAAACTAAAATTAATTTTATTTAACTAAAAATAAATTCAAATTAATTTTCCTAATTTTCACTAATTATCTTTTATATTTATTATAAAATTTACCGTGCATTAAGGTAAGTTATGGAAAATTAAACAAAGCTAATTTTGTAGAATCTTATGTGATAAAGTTTAAAATACTATACATTGAGCCAAGTCTAATGGAATCTATTGTGATAATAATTTGCCTAATTTTCCATGGGCACAAATGCACAATGCACAATGCACGGAAAACGTACAAGATTCTTGTAGAATAAAATCATTGTAGTAAAATAGATTGGAAATCTTTCTACTTTTAATCAATCTACATGGAAGAAGTTTAAATTTTATGTTATACTTCGTACATGTATACATATAGAAAGAATATTGTATCCAATTTTGGGTTGCATTAGGAGCAAAGCTTGTGATGCTAGAGGTCGTTTTTAAGGATCTTCATCTTGTTTAATTGGAGAACATGAGTGGTGTGGCTTGGTCTTGATTTGATCTAGACAAGTCTTAGTAGTTGTAGTTTGTGTTCCTTTTCGATTTGTTGCTTGTTCTCTTCAAGTCCCTCCCTAACACCCAAAAAGAGTATTATAATTTGGAAGGAATTAATGATTTTGTGTCCGAATTATTGCAATCTACTTTAAATACCTAAAATATAATTAACAAATATAATTTTATTTTATTTTCGTACACCCTAATCTTTCTTTTTTTAAAAAATTAAAATTAAATGATCAAATAAAGATTTGAATAAAAATATAGTCAAAATTAAGGACCCACAAATTCCCAAATTAAATGTATTTATCATTTGAAATGACCATTCAACCTGAATGACAATTACCAAATTAGCGCACACACTACACGAGTCTAATAGGCGCTTCAAATAGTGAAAACTGAAAAGTCATCGGTCCACTTGTTATTCTTGGCTTGATTGAATAATTGATCTTGTTGTTTGCTGAAGAAAATAGCGTATAACTTTATGGCTCGTTAGGCCCAATGATATCGTATCATTATGACTGACCTTTCAGCCCAAATTCATCACTGTGTACACTAGTCAGCATGGGACGGTTATTTGTACTGTAATAGTAATGGTATGCATATCCAGTAAAGACTAAATACGGTCCTTAAACTATCGTATTTGTGCCGTTTTAAGCCCTGTTCTTTTGAGTTTTGGACAGAGCAGAGCAGAGCAAAGGAGATTTCAGCAGAGCAGAGCAGATTGAAGCAGAGCAGGGCAGAGCAGAGCAGATTGAAGCAGCTATTTTTAAGTACTATTTTTAAGCAGAGCAGGGCAGAGCAGAGTAGAGCAAATTGAAGCAGAGCAGAGCAGAGCAAAGCAGCTCTAAAGAACGGGGCCTTAGTCCCTCTCTAACTATTTGTGCCCTTTTAGTCCCTCAACCACCTTCTTTGGTGTTTGTCAGCCAAAAGTTGAGGGACTTTGATGACTAAGCAAGAGTTTAGGAACTATGACTCATTTTATTTTTTGTTTTTCTTTTTTGTTTTTTCTTAAGAATTTATTAAAAATAAATCTTTTAATTATTTGTTTAAAAAATATTAATAGAAAACCAACGACTCTTAAAAAGCTCAGCCACCTTCCCCCTCCCGCTGTCGACAACTAGCGCCGGCGACTAGCACCACTAGCCACACCCACTACACGCACCACCAGCACCATAAAAATTCAACAAACACCACTAATCAATCGATCATACAAACCAAAACCCCTAATTTATCACAAAATCATGAATTCTACACAAATTATTCATCAAATTGGGCAAAACCATACTTCCTCTGCTTTTAAATCATAATAATTAAATAGTTAAATAAATTAATCAAACGTCTAGACCACCGTCGTTGCTGCTGCCAAAAAAATGAGTCATGGTCCCTAAACTCTTGCTTAGTCATCTAAGTCCCTCAACTTTTGGCTGACAAACACCAAAGAAGGTGGTTGAGGGACTAAAAGGACACAAATAGTTTTTGAGGGACTAAAAGTGAGCGCAATACGAAAGTTCAGGGACCGCATTTAGTTTTTACTTATAATATCACTAAAGACATGTTCACATTTACAGAATTGAGCTTAACTGAACTGATTGAAGCTGAACTGAACTGATTGGAGCTGAATTGAACTGAGCTAAAATGAATATTTTATGAGAGAAGGAAATACGAATCTGAACTGAACTAAAGAGAACTAATTAAAGCTGAACTGAACTGAATTGATTGGAGCTGAACTGAACTGAAATTAAGCTGAATTGGATAGACCCTAAAAGTGATATCCATAAACCAAATCAAAAAGTTTCGTTACCCATATTATCGAATCGGTTATCGGATATTCAATAATGATAATTAAACTTAATCTCGTAATTATTATAATATTATTTAACCCTGATTAACAACAATGCCACATTAGCTTGACCAAATTATTATTAATATTACTAATCACTAACATTATAAAGTGATTATGAAGTAAAGTAAGAGTTTAGATTTTGAAAAAATAGATTAAAGTTGAAAAAAAAAAATTGTTTGTCGGATGGGCCGATGGGGTAACTGTTATTTTTAAAATGATACCTAATAATCATAACCGATAACAAATTATCGGAACGGATACCCAAACTGTTGTGATTATCGGATCAGGTACCATAATTTTCGAAACGATTACAGATTGGATTTTTGATTTTTTCGGGTAGTTTTGCCCAGCACTAACATTATACAGTAGTGTGTAGTGTGTAAGTGGGTGGAAAAAAAGGACCATGTAAATAACCTCGGTCCAAGTACCCCTAACCGAGTAAATAACCTCGGTCACAGTACCCCCAAACTGACCGATTAACCCCTAAACGACCAATTACCCTGATCGATTTAGTAACTATTGACCAAGTGAGAAATTTTTATAACATTAACAAAGTAACCCCATAATGGTTGACCACACGGTGTGTTTCCAACCATATATTAAAGTGTGTGATATTCATTTATTTTTGTAATCCATATCTAACAATAGAAGTTGAATCTACCTATTGCTCTTTTCGTTTCAAAATTATAGTTTATATTTTTTGTACACTAATATTAAAATACATCGAGTAAGTATATAAGTAGTATAATCATCCTTTCAAAAAGCTCTTACTTGTAGCAAATTGAATTGGATGCAAAAATGTCCTCAAAAAAAAATTGGATGCAAAATAAATAGAGGCCCAACAAAAAAATTCCTCATCACTAATCACTATAACTGAATTATCAGCCCAAAACCAAGTAAATAAAAAATCAAACAAACATTAATTAATTCCAAAAATTACTTAACCCTCACAAAAATTTTCACCCATTTAAAAAATGACCACGTTTTACTTCCATTAAATCACAACCGTCCACCTCACCACAAATCCACAAAACCCTACTTATAAAAATCCACCACTCAGATTTCACCTCTTTTTCATTCCCAAACTTTGTTTTTTTTTTTTTTACCATTTTCTCTCCTCCATTTTTTATTTACCACTCTTCTTCAACAGTTGATCATCATCATCTTCTCATTCATCATCATCATCAAAAATGGCGGTTGGTAAGAAGCTTACAAAATCAAAGATGGAGAAGAAGGAAATTTACAGTGCAAAGCTCAAGAGATTGATCGATGAATACTCTAAAATTCTTATTGTTTTTGCTGACAATGTGGGTTCGAATCAACTCCAGCAAATTCGTCAAGGTTTAAGGGGTGATTCCGTCATTTTGATGGGTAAAAATACTTTGATGAAACGTGCTCTTAAATCATACATTCAAGAAACTGGTAATGATACCATTCAACCTCTTATTGGCCTTCTCCAGGTATTTTATTTTATCTTTTTTTTAAATGTAAAATTTCAAATTTGAAGTATTTATGATTATTTTGAATGTTATGTTAATGGGTTGTGATTATTTGTTATCTGGGTTTTTTTTGTTTGATTTTTCAGGGGAATGTTGGTTTGATCTTTACTAAGGGTGATTTGAAGGAAGTTCGTGAGGAACTTGGCAAATACAAGGTATACTTAAATTTTTGTTAGGGTTTTACGTGTTGTTTGAAGCAATTATTTCATATTATCTTTGATTTTTTTGAATATTTTCTGCTTATTTATAGTGTGATAATGGCTATTATGGGGTTGACTATACCGTTGTTTGTTAATCAAATTTGAGATGAGATATTTAATTTTATTTATGTTTGGTATTCTTATTGTTAGGATGAATGACTGTACTACGTATATGTTATTGTAAATTTGTGAATGCTAGGTTTATGAATGCGTAATTTAGATTTTGTTGTGTTTAACAATCTATCTTGAATTAATCACTTCACTAATTAGTACAAGTATGAATGATTTACGTTGTTGCATTTGTAAAACATGATAATTTTATTTATTGTAAACTGGCTGGTTTAAGTAAATTGTAAACGACAGAATTCAACTAAGAAGTTATTAAAAAAAAAAAAAAAAAAAAGTATATGAAATCATTTTTATTTTTGAATTACAAATAATTGGAAGAAGGTTATGACTAGCCCTTTTTCTTCTAGATTGAGCTATTGAGTGTATAAATTTTATACTGAATTGGATGGTTGCTAGATACAGTGACATCTCTTGCCCTTTGTGAAATCGTGACATTTTACACACTGTGTAACATATTGAAAGTGTTACTCCGTAAATAGTTAAGGATAAACGAAATAACTTTCTTTTTCTATCTAATTTAAAGTTAGCCATATGATTTCACTACATTTCTGTTTTTTTTTTTTTTTTTTTTTTTTTTTTTTTTGTTACAAGTTAGATCAAATTAATTGATCAATGGTTAATTTAAGCATAAAAATATATAATTCTTGCAAGGAAAATAACAATGTCTCAATTTTTTGAGCTATAAAGAAGGAAGACAACTTTTTCATGCATGTATATGATCTTAATGTTAATGACTTTTGGTTGTAGGTTGGTGCACCAGCTCGTGTTAACCTCGTTGCTCCTGTTGATGTCATCATTCCACCTGGAAACACCGGGCTTGATCCATCCCAAACCTCCTTTTTTCAGGTCAATTTGTTCATCTTCAAGTTCAACTGATTTTGAAGTTTTCCAATTTAAGTATTCTTTTTAACTTTGGACTTTGTTTTTTGGGTTGAATAGATTCTGAACATCCCAACCAAAATTAACAAGGGTACAGTCGAAATCATCACTCCAGTGGAGATCATCAAGAAGGGTGACAAAGTGGGTTCCTCTGAGGCTGCACTTCTTTCCAAGCTAGCAATCAAGCCCTTCTCTTATGGTCTTATAGTCACAAAGGTTTACGAGGATGGTTCCGTGTATGATCCAGAGGTGTTAGACTTGACTGAAGATGATCTCGCGGTTAGGTTTGCTTCAGGGCTTGCTAATGTCACTTCACTCGCCCTCAGTATCTCGTTTCCCACCCTCGCTGCTGCCCCGCACATGCTCATCAACGCCTACAAGAATGTGCTGGCTGTTGCTGTTGCCACTGATTACACTTTCCCACAAGCTGAGGAAGTCAAAGAATATCTCAAGGTTGGTTGCTTTGTTTTCCTATTTGGTAATTGGTATGCATATAAGTGCTTGATTAATTTGAAATGTATTCTCTGTATCTTGTTATTTCTGAGTAACTCCTAGTTGATCTCGGTATTAGAGTAATTGGTATGCACGTGCTTGATTAACCTTGAATTTGTTAGTTTGTATCTTGTTATTTCGAGGACTCCTAGTTGATCTCGTGATTGAATTAAAACTTAAAAGTCAATTTTTTTTTCCAAAATTACCCTTATCTTTATAGTAAAGGAAAACCCCAAAATACCCCTGGCATTGACATTAGGAGTTTGATCCATTGATGTGTTTATCATTGTCCATCTGGGAAATATAGCAAACTAGGTTAGTTCTCGTGCCATGCACGGTAATTTTCTACTTCGTATATATATATCTATTACGAAGTATTAAACTATTATTATAATTAGTTTTTTATTAACGAAAAAAAATCTAAAAACATAATTGACAAATTGTGATCAAAATAAAGGATTATACGAAAGATATGCTAGATATAAAATGATGTAAATATTTTTATTATTATGTTAAGACTTTTTATTTATAGCTATATAAATATTTGTGTCAATGATATGTCAAATCTTTTTAATTTTAAGTAATTATATTTTATAAAATTAGGGAATTATTTTGTATAAGATTTGTTTGTTTTTGTTTAACATAATTGACAAATTGTGATCAAAATAAAGGATTATACAAAAGATATGCTAGATATAAAATGATGTAAATATTTTTATTACTATGTTAAGACTTTTTATTTATAGCTATATAAATATTTGTGTCAATGATATGTCAAATCTTTTTTATTTTAAGTATATTTTATAAAATTAGGGAATTATTTTATATAAGATTTGTTTGTTTAATATACTCTGTAAAATTTTATTTTTTTAAAAGGAAAAAAAAAACTAAAGTCACACCAGGAGATGACACGTGTCATTGCTGGTGTGTCTTTTAGTATATAGTATTGATTAGCACCAAGACTTTAACTCTATGTTCATATTACCCCCTTAACTTTTAATTATAGCAAATGGACCCCAAAACTTAACATATCCTGCAACGTACATCTGAGCATCATTATTTAACAATAAATTCATCAAAACATGCTAATTTTTTGTATTAATAATAAGCATTAAGAGTATTATACATGCGTTATATTTCTTACCATTTCAATTAAATGTGAGCAATTGAAGAGATTAATCAAGTATGATGGTTTGCTAAATTCCGTTAATTTTTTCGCCCTTTGTCATATTTCAGTGTCGATAATTTCTATATTTTATAGTATGTATTTAATATGTATGATAATGTATATGCACAATATTTTGGATGTAATTAATTTTTTTTTAACTTTTTTTTGTCTTTTATTGGAGTATATTTTATGAAATTTATATATTTTAATGTGATTTTGCTCAAATTTGATGAATAGGTTTTGATTGCACAATTATATTAAGTTGTGGGGTTAATTTGCTACAAGTAAAAGTTATGGGGTTACTTTACACTTGCAATAAAAGTGTTGGGGCTAATTTGCTACTACACCCTTGCTCATCTAGTCATCTATGTTTCACTTACGTTTTCAATGTGTACAGGACCCAAGCAAGTTCGCTGCTGCAGTAGCTCCAGTGGCTTCTTCTACCGGCGGTGCTGCTTCAGCCGGCGCTCCAAAGGAGGAGGAGAAGAAGGAAGAAGCAGAGGAGTCCGATGATGACAACATGCTTAGCTTGTTCGATGATTAGCCTAGTTTCCTTACCACGCAAATATCATTAGCCAAGTATAATTTTCCTTAGGCGGCCTGGTTTCATGTTTTTGGGTGTTGAACAAAACTTCTATTTTCTTTTCTTCCTTAATCTACTCTTAAAAACTATTTCAAATCATGTACTACGAAGTACGGAGTAGAAAATTTTTATTATCGGTAAAAACTTGATTTATCTATCGGGTAAATTATCCACCACTAATCGCGAACCAGGTAGATGTTTGGATTTTAGTAATATTTCTGGCTAAGCCAATGAAATGAGGCCGAATTTATACAGTTGAAAGGCTCACTCATTGGCCCAATCCAAAAGCTATATTGTTTTTTTTTATTACAGTTTTCAGCCCAAAAACTAAGTAAAAAAGTAATTTAATTTAAATTAATGATGAAAAGTGTACAACATTAATACACCTGATCACAAATCTCCACGTTATTCCCATAAAATCACAACCGTCCACCTTTACATAAACCTATAAACCCTACTTATATAATCAACCATTCATTCATTCATTCATTCATCATCAATCATCTCCTACATTTTCAACGTTTTCTCTTTATTACTACTCTGTTCTTGTTATCTTGATCATCTTCATCTTTGAAAAATGGCAGTCCTAAAAAAAGCTGCAAAATCAAAGATGGAGAAGAAAGAAAGGTACAGTGATAAGCTCAAAAAACTGATCGATGAATACTCTAAGATACTAGTTGTTTTAGCCGATAACGTCGGCTCGAATCAACTCCAGCAAATCCGTCAAGGTTTAAGAGGCGATTCAGTCATTTTGATGGGTAAAAACACCTTGATGAAACGTGCACTTAAGTCTTATGTCCAAGAAACTGGTAACGAAACTATCAGACCACTTATGGACCTCCTTGCGGTAATTTTTTTTTTTACCATTTTGTTGTGATTTTTATCAAAAGATAGTCATTATAAATATTATGAACATGAATAGTAATTAATTTTGTGGAATTTTTTTGGTTTGATTTTCAGGGGAATGTGGGTTTGATCTTTACTAAAGGTGATTTGAAGGAAGTACGTGAGGAACTTAGCAAATACAGGGTAATATATTTTTGTTATGATTATACAAATTTTTTTTTTTTTTTTTTTTTTTTTTTGACAATGTACAAAAAACGTTGTTACACTATAAATCTAGTGTGAAAGTTTGCAGGGAAGTTTTTGGAAATTATAAGTTCCGTACATAACAAGTTAGCATAATATAGCATGGTATTTCCTTGATTAGTTTAGTTTTAATTTCATAGGTTAAAAATTATGTAGATCAACTAAATTATTAACAATCTGTAGGAGATTTACTAGACATTCTGTTAGCTTTATCTGTTTAATTTTTATTTACTCTGGTTGTATTCTAGTGTGAAATCTTAAATTTCTTATCAAAGTATTGATCTATTATCAATTATGCGTAGCAACATTAAATTATTAAGCTTCCCTCAATAAAAATGACTATATAAATATTTCAAAAAATAAATAAATAATGTGATGTGAAATATGATAGAATAAACATCCATTATGAAAAAGGGTATGTTTATAAAATTAAATCACACTCTTAATTACATATTAATACTTTAAAAATTATCTTTTAAGTTTATGCGTTTAACTTAGGTGTTACAAGAAGAGTGGAGTATCATATTCCTTTTACTTTGCTTTAGCTTTTTTGTGTAACTTGGTGGTGGTCCTTTTGTGGAGTTGGCTACAATATAGCAAGTTTTAATTGGTTATTAAAAAAAAATAAGTGATTAGCTAACTAATAATCATGTTTATGCAAGTATACCATGCTAGTTGTATCTTAATTAAAATTTTAATACGGAGTAGTTAACAAGTTATGTCCTTGAACTACAATTTGTAGTTGTTTCTTGATGATTTGTCGTGCTCAATGAACGTTAAACCCGTGGCTTCATAATTGCAAACGTCATATTTTCATTGACGTGTGTAATTCATATGGTTTGATAAAGTTGTGGCCAATGTCCAAAATCTAACTAGAACATTCTCTATACTATTGTCCAAATTTTTTTTATTTTTTTTTTGTAAAAAAATGTGCTAACGTTGCTACTATTTACCTGTAATAATACCTAAATGTTGTCTAAAGTTCTCTACTTTCATTATGAAGTGTCTACACTTTCTCATGAGCTTTATGATAAAGGGTACTCTTAAATTTGTGCATGTGTTAATATATATAAATTGCTAATTGTTTACCACATAAAGCTAAACTTCATTATAATTTTGTCCTTTTATTTATTATAATCTAACTAATTAAAATGGTCAAATAGTTTAGATTGAGCTATTTTATCTTTGTTAAATCTACATTTTACTTTCGTTATGTAACTAAAAATTGGTCATGATTTAGGCCAGTGTTAAGACTAGAATTCAAATCTCATCTAACATCATTTGTCATTAACTCTAAACAAAATTTGTATCACTCTTTAAGCTACGTGTAGTTTTCACTATAATATGATCTAAGTAATTTATTGTGAACTAACTGTTGATGGTTCTTCATCTATGACCTTACGTTAATGGCTTTGGTTCTAGGTCGGAGCTCCAGCTCGAGTCGGCCTCATTGCTCCGGTTGATGTTGTCATTCCACCCGGAAACACTGGACTTGATCCCTCTCAAACCTCCTTTTTTCAGGTCATTTTAACCCCCTTGATGTTCATTTGATTTTTATTCAAGTTCATCATCATAAAAATCTTAGACAACTTTGTTTATGTTTGTTAGATTCTCAACATCCCAACCAAAATTAACAAGGGAACAGTCGAAATCATCACCCCAGTAGAGATCATTAAGAAGGGTGACAAAGTGGGTTCTTCAGAAGCAATGCTACTAGCTAAGCTTGCTGTCAAACCCTTTTCCTATGGTCTTGTTGTCGAAAAGGTTTTCGAGGATGGTTCAGTCTATGATCCTCAAGTATTAGACTTGACTGAAGATGATCTCGCTGAGAAGTTTGCTTCTGGCCTTGCTAATGTCACTGCTCTCGCGCTTAGCATCTCTTTTCCTACACTTGCAGCTGCTCCTCACATGTTCATCAATGGTTACAAGAATGTGTTGGCTGTTGCTGTTGCCACTGATTACACTTTCCCACAAGCTGAAGAAGTCAAAGAATTCCTTAAGGTTAGTTGCCTTGTTTTTTCCTTTCTTATAAGTATGCTTGATGATTAATAAATTTGAGGAACTCCTAATTGATCCCGAGATTGGAGTAAAACTTAAATTTGAAATATCTTATTTTATTTTATTTTTTATTCCAAAACTACCCATATATTTAGTTAAGGAAATCCCCGAAATGCCCTAGAATTGGCCTTAAGATTTTGTTCTGTTACAATGTTTATTGCTTGTTTATGTTTCACTTACATTTTTGAGTATGTAATGTGTGCAGGATCCAAGCAAGTTTATTGCTGCAGTAGTTCCAGTGGCTTCAGCTACTGGCGGTGATGCTTCAGGCGGTGCTTTTAAGGAGGAAGAGAAGAAGGAAGAGGATTCGGAATCAGATGAAGATAACATGCTTAGCTTGTTCGACGATTAGGGTACCACGCGGATAATGAAATATTAGATGGTTGCATCTTTTGTGTGTTGAGCATAGCTACGGTTGTTATTCATGTTTTAGTCAGCTTATGCTAAAGACATTGCTTTAACCATTCACAATTTTTTGAACAATTGTGTTGTGGTTAGTCTATGAAAACAATTTGGTAGTAGTTAATTTAATATAGAGCTGGCCATTTATGTTATATTTATCATACTTATGTATGCTCCAATTTAACATTGTGTTGTATTATGTTTATGAATTTTGTGCCTGTTAATCTGCTATTGTTTTGTAATTTTTAAATCAAAAATTGTGGTAGACTGGTAGTCATTGCTGTTTACTAATAGTGTAAGTCGATAATTTGATATAACTCTACGTTTCAAGTTACATGCTCACAACTAATTATTCGGCTTATTCCTGTCGAAAAAGAAAAAAAAAATGATTAGAATTAGTTTTAGGCTATATGAGCAAATTATCAATGTCATTTGTAGACAATGTATTTTAACCTTAGTAGAACTCTTGCAAATTTACTACGAGTATAACATCATGTCAGTTATTCAATCAAAATTAAGAGTTCATAGTTATGCAATTATAATTTTTATTTTTATTTTTATTTTTATTAAAAAAAAAAAGTTTCATGTTGACTGTCCTAATCAATTTTCAACTTAAAAATGAAAATAAATAACATCTTAATAAGCAATTATTAATGTCTTAATAAAAGTATATATGGTTATTTTTATTTGTCAAAGGCGACAGACAGGTAGAAAATTCTTTCCCTGCTAGCAGGTTAGTTGATGGACACAAATGTTAAGAGTGTTAGACTATGAATGATTGTCTGGGTTCGAGGATAACTATGGATAATGCAGGGGAGACGAGGCATAATTCACTGTCACAAATGCAAGTATCAAATTGGCTTCTCTCTAAAGCTAAAAACTCTAGGGGCTGCCCCTGCAGAGCTCATTGCAATAAGGGTGGTTTCAATCACGGCATGTGAAAGAAACATATAATTCCTCAAATCGAAAATTGATGCCCAAGCTTTAAAATACACGTTCGAAAGTACTTCAGGCTATATAAATCAATAACTGGCTGTAATCCAGTATCTACAACTGAACATCACCATAATATGGCATTTTGCACATTGCTGTTCATGAATAACTCAGATATTTCATATTCAGATGAAATGTTTTGTTAACTAGATTACTAGCGTATCATGAGACTGATACTGCAATGAGTAACAATATTTGTTCAACATGATACTCAACATTCCAAAACCAAAAAATTAGTAAGCTGTATTCAAGAACATACATAGAAATCTGCACAGTGAATTATTTTGGTGCATCTGCAGTCCCAATAGTTACTGATGTTCAAATTTATTGACATAATTAAATAAATAAATTGTTCTACATGTGATATAGTTTAGTATGTAATATCGCTATGTTGTATAATTAGTTTCCAATGCATCTGCACCTAAGATGATCCTTTCTGCTGGGGCCTGCTATTAAGCCGCCGAATAATCTATCTAAGCTGACTGTATGATCTACAAATGGTGAATTCCGCAACCTGTGAAGCTCGTGGTCTAAGATCTTGCTTAGATCTGAAAACTGCATTGAAGTTGAACAAAACGAAGTTTTAGTGTATGTGAGTCAACAATGTCTCAAATTTAGGTGTTTGATTTATTAGGCATCACTTTCTGAATAGATTATGATTTATGATCACATCAACTATAGACTCACTAAGTCAATGTGCTTAATGTAATAGCCTGTCATGTTATTAGAACTTACTTTTAGACAAGAAGTTATCCTATAAGATAATGTATAGTTCTTCCACTTTGTACAGCTAAATGTAGTAAAACCTATAAAATTAAGTGGTTAAATATTACCTTCAAAATGTTGAGGACCTTCAGCTGTGTTAGATCCTTCGCCTATGTAGGACATTGACAGAATTTGATTTAATTATTGGAGACAGTTGCGGAATAAACGAACTCCCTGTACCATTCAGAGTAGGCAGGATGAGCATTTAATACAGATAGTGATAATTTGACAAACAAACTTTCTAACTTTTTATAACAGACCTGCAGTGCAAAGGTAATATCTGATGCATCGACTTTCAAGGATAGTTTTTCTCCTTTCTGAGACCGAACAAGCTTCAACAGTCCCTGCAGAATCAAGAGCTTCGAAGTATTAATATCAATTATCTGAAAGAGCTAAATAGCTAAGTTGGACATTGGAAGATAAATTACCTGGTCATTCAATGCTTTGCACATACTTGACAACTCCATGATCCCTACAGACCTCAGTTTAGCAGATTTGCATATGGAATCATATGATTTATTCAGCTGTATAGAAAAAGCATTTCAATGTGAGCCAACAAATCTGGCTCGAAACAACATTAATGGCACTGAATCAAAAAGAGACATACCTCTCCAACAATAGACTCTTTTTTCCCCTCACGGAAAAGCTTTACTGCCGAGCAAAGAATGATCTATTGCCACAACAAATGTAAGAATAAGTTTAATCTTGCAAGCATTGGATAACTGAAGTTAAAGCACAAGAATGATTTAAATGGAGTATTATAGCTAATTCATTTTACATCCCCTAGGTAAGCTATTCTATTTTGCAGCTACCAACTTTACACTAGTCACAGACTCACAGTGGTCCAACACTCCCAACTCAAGCACCTTACATCAGCTGATCAGCTGGAGGCTTTTTTCTACAGTGTTAAGTATCAAGTAGTCCGTGATAAGCACTTTAATGGCCTCTCCAAGTGCTTTCTCAAACAAAAAAATGCTATTCAACATCCAAATGCCAAAGTTGACAGATACAGATTCCAACAAGACAACTTAAATTTGAAGATATCACCAACATAACATGCAAAAATTTTATATACTGACAATTTCACTTAGAAAACTAAGAGACATAAATTAACATAAACAACATTAGGCTGAATAGATCCCTTTATTAGCAAAACATGTTGATGGGATTGCAAAAGGAAATACAGAGAAGCAAAGAGCAAATCAAAGACATACCTGTTGATGTTGAGGAAGAGACTGTATGGTCTCCACTACAGGGGATCTATAGGTCTTTGACAAAGCAACTGCCATATGATGTATTTGTACCTGTAATGAAAAATAAAGTCAAAGGTTATAAACATGTCAAGGTAGTAGTAAAAGAGGAAGATGCTATCAGGAGTTTTATTATTGGGCAAAGGTAGAAGAAAGCTTGAAGACTTACAATGTCGATCTCCCGGAGGACAGGGGTAGCTGGAACATTTTCTTGGTCAGAAGATCCATTCTCACTAGACAAATCATCAAGATTACTTGCATTCTCCTTTATCTCTGATTCTAGAATTTCAATTGCACATCTGGAAAAGAGGTTTGAGATGAATATTCAAATTTTAACAGACCAAATATAAGGATCAAACCTTATGAAATCACATAGCATGGATAATATTTGATCACTTTGCCAATTTAGCAGCTAGAAAGCACAAGCTGCCAAATCTGAATCATAAAAGAACCAATCAACCTATATGTACAGGTTTCAGACCCTTTTGTCAGCTATGCTACCCAGATTTACCCAATCCACTAGTGGTAATATAACATCATGCAAAGGACTAAGTCTGAACTACTGTAGGTAGAAATTTGCATTGTATGCCACTATATGTTTTTATGCATCAACTGAAGACTACATGACTATCTATTTTTCAATTATTATCTTTAGAAGACAACTGTCTATCTATATTCTACTATTACAAATTGAGGCAGTGCTTTTATGTAAGAAATGGAAGCCTAGCAATTTGTGTTAACATATACAACTTATTTTTTGACATTTGAAACTATGCGTACATTTGCCCTAGATTGCAATCTTTTATCCTGAACCCGAATACCAAATTAAAAAGATATTAAGAATATATTGTGCGAGTAACATACTAGAATTCACCAGGAGCAATAAACAACATTGAAAAGCACAAACCTGCAAACACTTAAAGCTTTCCTCATGTCTCCTGATGCAGCTGCAACTTTCTGCATCAAAGCATTGCAAATGTCAGATGTTTAAATTCGACATTATTTTTCAACAGACACTAAACTCTGATACCATATTATATTGGAAGATGCTTTTAGTATAGAATCATAGTAGAGACAGTAATCAAACTTCCATATGAAGGATAAACCAAATTATCTAAAACATAAATAAATGTTTTTTGGCCCATATTTAACACCTCTAAATGTGCCTTGTACAAAATATTTACAAGCTTCCTGTGTTTATTGACTGATTTGAAATAATATCATAATCCAAGAAGATATAAAAAGACTCACCCTTGCACAAAGTTCCAATGTTTGTGGCTGGAAGACCGTGTAAGGAAGTGCCTGCTCAAGAAAAGGATTCCATGTAAGGAAGTCATCCTAATTGTTTATTTTTAAAACAGTTCTACCTCTAGCATGTTCATTTCATGCATGCTAATCACTAATGAGTAATGAACTAACCACAAGCCGCTCCTGAAGAATCTTTTGTATTTGATCCTTTGAGTAAGCCCGGAATGTCAAAACAGAAGGTTTACCTGGCATCAGTGATCAGTATTAGTAATTGGCACGAAAGATTGGGAGGCATCCCCTCTTCTTGCACAGTCATTTAACAAGCTTGTAATGGAAAAATGCCAAAAGGTCAAAAACAATTGGCTAGAGTATAATTTGCCAAAGTATTTAATCATTAATGTCCCACAAGTTAACCATTTTATTACTTCTTTTGAGATCGAGTACAACAGATTCTCAACATTCAAGGAAGAGAAGAAAAAGGTAAGTTTTTTTACAACTGAAACACTGATTACTAAACCAATTCTAATTCAGCAGGATGGTCATTACAGCACTGAATAAGTTATGATAAGCTTGCTGCGTATTGAAGCTTCAGCACATAACCATAAATAATTCGAATATGGCACATGGTTCAAGAATGATTTCACATCAAGCTCAGATAAAGTGAACACATTCTAAGCAAGTAAATGCAATAGAAACAATAAGAACTTACAGTTCAGTGATTGCAGTCGAGGAAGAAATCGGTCTGCTAGATCTATTGCATTGGCAATGCCTGAAAGGAGTTCAATTAGATGAGAACCATTACAGAATCCAGTGCTCAAAAATCAAGACAAGATCTTTGCTACTAGGGAAAATAGATAGATTTCTTTTCAGCAGTACCTATTAATATACATCTAGAGAATGGCAGTGTAGTGAGCATAAAAAGTTCGTGAAGTACTTCACGATCCTTAGTAATTAGATAATCCAGCTCATCAATAA